CCAGTGAACCAACCAGCCAGCCAATCAGCCAACCAACCCGCCAACCAACCACCGCACCAAACGACCGACCAACCAACCAGCCAACCACTCCACCAGCCAACCAGCCAACCCACCGAGCAACCAACCAACCGCTGCTGGTAAGAAAGTTTGGCCCGGCATCTAGCGAACCAACCAACCAACCAATCAACCAACCATTTCCGGGCAACCAGAAACCGGCCAAGCAGCCAATCAGACAATCAACTAACCTACCAACCAACGAACCAACCAATCAACCAACCAACCGAACTACCCGCCAACCAACGAACCAAACACCAGGATACATTTTTAGACCCGGCAATCGGCGAGCCAATCAGCCAACCAGCCCACCAACCAACCAATCCTTCAGTGGGAACTTTTTGAGGATGTCCCACACGGCGGTTTCCAGATTTTTGTTGACCCTGAAGTTCTCCCCTAACATATTGCTGTTTGACCCTGAAAGAAAAATCAGCCCTTCCCCCCTCCCCAAGTGGGACGCGCGGCGCGGACGAGGCGGCGCGGGCACTTTTAGACCACCACGGCAGGCAGCTTCCGACAGCCAGCACTGGCTGCGACGGCCCTCCCGCGCGCCAGGGCTGGCGCAAGCTGCCAGAAATGGCCAACAAATGAGACGGAGGAGGAGGCGGAGGAGGAGGATGAGGAGGAGGAGGAGGAAGAGGAGGAGGAGGAGAACGAGGAGGAGGAGGAGGAGGAGGAGGGGAGGAGGAGGAGGAGGAGGAGGAGGAGGAGGGATCAGGAATAGAGGGAGGGAGGAGGGAAGGAGGAGGAGAGGGAGGAGAAGGAGGAATATGATGATGATGGTGATGATGATGATGAGGAGGAGGAGGAGGAGGAGGAGGCTCGGCTCGGAACCCTTGGGTGCGGTCAGACGGAAGTCCCGAATCAGCCTCGCACCTGGGCGTCGCTTCGCGACAATCGAAATGAGGACTAGTCAACCTCGGTGGCCACCATGGCCAGTCGGGCTCCGCCCGCACGGCCCCAGGGAACGGCCCGCCGAATGGCGCGCAGCCTGGCGGGTGCCCCCCTCACGGGGACCAGCTCGCGGATCCGTCACTCCCGACCCCCCACCCTCCAACGTCCCACCCGTCCCATCCTCGAGCCGACCCCCGTGAGTGCTTCTATTGCTGTTGAGCGCCGCCCCGACTTCCCTCGAGGAGTGAACCTCCCGTGCAGGGGGTCGGTGTGCACTACCCGAGGAACGCCTTAAAAAGTTGGGTGCAGGGGCGGCGGGCAGAGACTGGCTCGAAGCAGCGCCCCTCCCGCCACCCGCTCCTTTCCCTCTGCGTGCTCGGCGGGTCGGACTCAGCACATGCACGGCGGACGAGGGCATGAGCGGTGAAGCATACACCGTCGCCACTCTCGTCGAGGACAAAACTGCAGGGCCGACAATACCCTTTGCAATCAAGGCTGCCAGCCTCTCACTGCTGGCCATTAGAACTGATTGAGAGCCTGGAGCAAACTGCCTGCCTCTCGCTCCAAGGGCCCCTCGGAGCTGGGCCGTGCACCGCCTCCGCCTTCTCCACTTTCACGAGGTAGTCCACCAGGATCGGGCACAGGGAGTTGGCGGACGGCACCCTCGAGTTCAGCACGAACGAGAGGACCCCCTTGGCTTCCTCGCCCGTGGTCCTCGCCTTGCGGTACTTGCAGTGGAGGACCTGCTCCGCGATCTCCTGTGGCTTCTTGGCGGCGATGACCTGCTGCCAGTACTCGAGGAAGATCGCGTGCCCGTCTGCGTTCGGAGTCCCTCCCCCCGGCGCCGTAATCTCCATGCTGCGCTTGATGATGGCGCCGAAGAGGTGGACGTGAGGCGGCCCGCGGGCCTTGAAGTCGACCGACTCCCCGCCCGCGACCTTCTCGCGGAGCCTCTTGCTCTCGCTGTCGTAGTCGATGCCGCTCTTGCGGCGCACCTGCCCGAGGCTGCCCTCGGCCTCGCTGATGAACATCGTGGTGGAGCACGCGCTCTCGAGCTGCGCCGCCTGTCGGGCCGTGGTGAGGACCAGCTTCGCGATGATGACCAGCAGCTGGTCGGCCTTCTCCTTGCGGTTGCCTGCCTTGCCCCGCTTCGGGCGCGGCGCCGATGCAGGGGGCGAGGCCGCCCTCGCCATCCAAGAGGGCATCGCCACGTCCGAGGTCATGGCGGAGCCGCTGCCGCGCGAGGAAACACGCCCCCGAAGAAACCGACCAGGGAAGATGAGCCCGAAGATGGCTACAAAGGTCGTCGTAGTCAGCCGACTCGTACGAGCAAATGCGGCACCCAAGATCCCTCGGTTCAACTCTGGTCGCACTTGCACTCGGCCCTCTCGTTCCGCGATGCCCCCTAAATATCGAACCCTCAAGGTGTCGATAGGCCGTTTGCCTACTCCAGAAAATCTTCCTACACGCAATACATTCGTTGGACGGGCAAAGCAGAGCAGCTAAATTATACACACCGTGCTTGTGCCTCAAGTGCTCAGTGAGCCCCCGCTTCGTGCAGAAAGAATCGTCACATTGCGTCCCCTCCCCTTTCGGCCAGGAACACACGTACGGGGCAACAGGGCCGGGGAGGGGGCCGAGCCCACCAGGGGCCCCAGGGTCAGAGACACCGCAAAGTGGGCCAGGGGGCGCAATAGTGACCGTGAAATGGTGACTACGCAGACGTCTGAAATCCAGGCGAACGAACTCCTCAGATAATTCTTTATCCTCGATGAGGAGCCAGGGACGGTCCGCGACACGCAAAAGCACATCCCTGTCGTCGGGCATGACATCGATCGCGGCTCGAACGTCGTCCTGGATGCGTTTGGCCCAGGGACTCGCAAACTGACTAAGGCCATCCTCTGTGCACGGCCGCCTTTCCGCAGGTTCAAAATCAAGGGCCCCAAAGAGCATTGCTAAAACGTGCGCGTGCACCCGAGTCCGAGAGGCCCAAGATTGATACCAGCTTAGCCTACGGGTTCGGAGCTCCACTTCGCACTGCACTAATTGCCAGGAAGCCAAGATCTCTTGAGAACACATGCGGGCAGTGACCTCGCCCTGTTCGTTGCGTTCGCATGCGGCACCGTGCGCAGCAATATTACAGAGGGAGGCGAGACAGTGATCCAGGAGCGCGTGTTGACGGGGGCTGAGTAAAACAAAAAAACCTCAAGTGCCGACAGGAGGGTGTTTTGCACTGAACCGATCAGCACCGTGCGCCGCCAGCGTCGCGGCGTGCTGGCAGACCAGAAACCTGCCATGGCATAGAAGGCGGCACGGACAGCCGCCATCCTACGCTCCACCTCGATGGCAGCTGAGGCGTCCTGCGTGACGATCGGCCCCAGGTACCTCGTCGCCTCCTCGACTCGTCCGTCGACTCTTCCCCGTGCGATGGCATGCTGTAGCCACCGCTTGCACTGCTGCGAGCCCGTCCCCTGGATCATGAAGCGCGCCACCTGCTTGTCGCGATCCTGCGCCATCCCATATTGCGTTAGGCACTCGTCCAGGATGTGATCGCTGCTCTTCATCCTCCTGGGGGCCTCGTCCATGTCACAACCGACCTCCAAGGGTATGACGCGATACAGGTCATCGGCGTACTTGGCCAACGAGACATCCATGGTGAAGTCCTCGAAGCCCCCGCGCAGCGGTCCCGTGATCCCCACCATCGACAGTCGCTGGGACCACTTGTCAACGGGGGCGACAAAGGCCGCCGCGAACGCCTGCACCACGAACGGGTCACCCATGAGGCCGCCCTCGCCCGTCTTCAAGAAGAGGACCCCGTCGCTCGTGTCCACCTCCACGACCGACAGGCGGTGCCTGTCACGGCAGAGCGTCTGGTTCTGCGGCTCCACCAAGCCCTCGTCTAGGATGACCTCATCGAACCTTTCCCAGGACACGCTGTCGAAGCCGTTCGCCATGTCCTTGAGTGTTGCCACCCACGACCAGCCCGGCTGCCTCAGGCGCCACGCCAAAACCTGAGTCGCCAGCAGAGCTCCCCCCCTACGTCGGTGGGGTGCGAATCCGTGATCCTGCGGGGCCAGCTGCGCTTCGAGCTTGCACGCGAAGTATCCCTTTCCCACAGCGGGAAGGGAGTGAATAACTCTCCTTCCCTTCATACCAGGCTTGTCGTTCTTGGCGAGTCCGATGCCCATGCTGCGGTGCCAGTGCAGGGGAGTCTTTTCCGCGCGCCTGATCAGCGTCAGCGCTCGCAGGAGGGTCTCGTCGAACAACTGCATCCCCTGCGCCGTCCTCTCGAAGCCCACGCCGTGGGGCAGCTGATCCATGGCCCTGTCAGGCCAGAGGCAGAGGTCCCAAAGCTCGAGCGCCGCCGTGCCAGTTGGAACTGTGCGCCTCTTCTTGGCGCGCCGAACGTAGCGCCTCAGCTCCTTGAAGTCATCCTGTGCGTAACCAATGTCCATGGGGTCGGCAGGTGGGGCGGGGGGGGGTGCCAGTTCTGCTTGCGCGCCACTCACTCCAGTCGACTTCGTGTGCCCTCATACCTCCCTGGGCGCCAGGCCTCCCCCACGCCTCGACCCAGTCCGACCGTGGCAGCGGGGGGGGGGCCAAGGCGGCGTCCGTCTCGTCGCTTCGCGCCCAGTCGACAGTGTCCAAGTAGTCGTGAGAGACGCATCGCCTCGGCCGTGTCCCTCTTCTCCCAGGCCTCCCGTACCTCCTCCTGGAGCTGGTTCCTCTCTGCGATCCTGCGGGCACGGTGCTCCAGCTTCAGCTCAGCCGAGAGCGTCTTGAGCTCAGTCTCCAGCTCCCGAAGTCGGTCCTCATCTGCTTCTAGTCGTTCCCGTCGAAGCCGGGAGCGTTCCTGGAGGAGCTCGCGTCGTCTAGCACATCGTTGGCTGCGCGCCTCTCCCCCATGTGGCCCCCCGAAGTGCGCGGCGCCCGCCGCCGTGAGGATGCTCTCCAGCTCCTCCCAAGCAGCGTCGGGCGTACCCTCCATCATACATACGTCGATATATTCATTTCTTTCCCCCAATCCGCCTCAGCACATCCTCCAAAAACTCCTTTTTTCCCCTTCCCGTGGCGGACCGCCTGCATCAACCTCGCGCAGTCAAGGCGCTGCGGGGGCATGGGCGGCAAGGCCCAGGCATCCTTTTCGTTCTCAAGCTCGAGCAAGAGGGGGAGGTGGCCCCTCGGAGGCGCCCCTGGTAGCACTTGCCACTGCGCTCCCAGGCCGTGCAGAACGTGGCAGCGCAGCACACGGGGAAGCCAGCCCAGTGGGATGAAGAAGTGATCGATGACCGAGCCCGAGGGTGGTGTCCTGGTCGTATAGAAGGTGTACTCAACTTTGTCTGCGAAGGTAGACGGGGCGGCCATGTGCTGGGTATCCAACAGGCCCCTCACCAACTCCCCCGCACCTCCTCGTCGCTGCTCTCGACTGCGAAGATGTCCAAGGGCCTGGGACGGCTGTGTAGTCCATCCCCCAACCTGCTTCTGGATCCCCAAACCGTCGTTCAGGTCGGCGTAAAAAATTGGAAGCGTCCTCGTAGGCGCCTCCTGGAGTATCTGCTGCCGCCAGTCTGGCAGCAGCTTCGCCGTGTGTAGGTAGCGGCTGACCTGGATGCGCTCCCTCGGTTGCGGCGGGAAGTAGATCACCCCCACCAAGATGTCAAGGCCGGCCTTGCGCATCCGAGCCGCTAGGGCCCGTCCTCCTGCTCCTGGAGGCGATCCCCATGCACGGACAACGTGGGAGTCGCGGAACCGCTCCCCCAGGGCGATGACGCAGCCCGCGCTGCGGTTCGTGTACGCCCCCTCGGTGTACGGCGCCTCCAGCACAAGTCGACCTTCACACCGACGACGGAGGACTCCCTCTCCTCCAGAGTGGCAGTGCACCTTGGTGCCCGCGAGGAGGAGGGCGTCCGCGGCGCGGCAGCCGGTCAGCAGCTCCGAGAGTCTGGCCCCCACAGCGTGGAGCGGGTTGAACGCCAGGAGGCGGAGAGTCGATCTCAACGCTGGCGCCATGGCGGCTCGCGCAGGTCCTGTGGGAGGACGACCTGCATCAACTCTGCCTCGGTGCGAGGTGCCCCCAGCCCTTCCAAACAAGCCAGAACCAGAGGGGCTGGAGGAGGAGGAGGAGGAGGAGGAGGCGGAGGAGGAGGAGGAGGAGGAGGAGGAGGAGGGGGAGGAGGAGGGAGAGGAGGAGGGGGAGGAGGAGGAGGAGAAGGAGGAGGACCAAGGAAGGCATGGCGGCCGGGGTCCACCCTCAGCGAGTTGTCGAACCCGTTGGTCTTGGATGGTCGCGCCCCCTTCCGAGGCGCGCAGCGCGATCGCCCAGCGGGCTGCGCCTGCAGCGCCGGGCATCCGCGGCGCCAAGATTGCCGCGCGAATCGCGGATACTTCTCCCGGCCGAAGGTACAGCACGTAGGTCACCAGGATCGCGAGGGCGTGGGCGAGCAGCCCGTCCCTCACCATCACAATGGCGATCAGCGCCACTACCTCCAACGGAAGCGGCAGCCTCAAATGCGGGCGCCTGAAGCCCTGGAGGGCCCTGCGGCTGCGCGGCATCAGCGCCCCCGCCGCCATCCGCAGTCCCTTGAGGAAGGTCCCGACCGCGAACCCCCACTTCGCCCTGCCGGGGCTGTCCCCGTCCGAGTACATGACCTCGAGCCAGTTGGCGAGCAGCGTGTCCACCTTGGCCTCCACCGTCGGGGCGGGCCGCTGCAGCCCCGCCTGGAACGCCTGGTACAGCGACAGGTACTGGTCGCGGGTGCGGGGCTGGTCCGAGGCCGCCTCCAGGCCGGAGAGGCCGCCCCCTACCGCAGCGCCAGCGCGACGCCGCGAGGCCACCCGGGCCTTCAGCACCACCTTCCTGCGAGGACCCTGGCGTCCGGCGCGCTCGGCCCGTTGGGGGGCCCGACCTGGCTTGCCCCCCGCCAGGGTCGTCGACGCCGCTGGCCGCCGCCGGGCCGCAGAAGCCCCGGTCGCCCTGGCCAGCGCAGACGAAGCGAGGCTCGCAGTCCAGGACTTCCGAGCCGCCGCGCGTCGCCCCAGCAGACCCCCGGATGGGGGCCGGAAGCAACCTCTCCGCATGAGCGACCTTCGGGCGTGGGACCCGAGCTCGGGCGAGCATGCTTCGTGAAGTCGAGCGGGCTTGGCGACGCCGGAGCCCAGAGGCCGCGCGACGGGGGGTCTGCGACGTTCCAGTCAGAGGGAAGCCACCGATAGTGTAAGGATGACCCTGTGGCAAGCGAGAGCGCCGCAATCGACTGCGTCACCGTCATCATGCTCTTGCTGT